CCTACACCACGTTTGCTATCGACGAGGTTGTATCAGCAGCACATGTTGGCAACAGCAGCTTATCTGCTCGTCCAGACGCGCGGAAGGAAACCTCGCCTGGTGGTAATCCGGATCTGTGGGAGGAGGTCGTCGTCGTCAGCGCCAAGATCTCTAACACTGGCGACCGCGCTGCTCATGCCGTGCCCCAGCTGTACCTGTCTTTCCCCGCCAGCGCACCAGAGGGAACACCGGTCAAGGTTCTGCGTGGCTTTGAGAAGATTCTCCTCGAAGCTGACGCCGAGACTGCGGTCGAATTCTCGCTGATGCGCAGGGATGTGAGCTACTGGGACACGGGGCTTCGGGACTGGGTGATTCCGAAGGGAGAGTTCACCTTCCGCGTAGGCTTCAGCTCGATGGATTTGCCCGCGGAAACCACGTTTGCTGTGCTGAAGTAACATCCTGCAGCGTCCAGCATGAAAGCATTCGAAGGTGGTATCTCGGTGTTCTCGTTTTCGCTCATACGAGGAAACAGTGGCTGCAGCCGCAGATTCTGTCGATAGTCCACGAACAAAGTGAAAGCAGCGAGGCCCTTGAAGGCGCAAGGGATGACCTGTGGCTTGCTTTTCTCTTCTTCTCATAAACCAACGCTCGATTCTCGACGGCATTATATGGGCAAGTGCATCCTCAAAGTGAACATAGGTGGAGCGGAAAGTAAACCGTCCAGTGAGCTCGACGAAACCCATCTCTGCCTGATCCTTGTGCCAGGAAGCATCGCCAATAATTTCGCAACATGCAATCCACACAAATGAAAGCAAAGCGAGTTCATCTATGCCAGGAGGCTGACAGAATTGGACGACCCAAAGGCGCGGAAAAGGCCATCCCCTGCGTAGGGCTATGCTGATCGACTCCTCTCCACTGCTGCTCGAGCATTCCGATGCTGGCCGTCGCGCCTGTCGCGCTCACGGCCATTAGTACCGATTATTTGTTGTAGATGACGATCGCAGCGGCTGGTTGTGCGCAGATGATGTGGGCTGAGGCCAAGGACGAACTTGCTGACAAGACCTTTGCAACGCTTGAAAGAAGTCAGCCTTGCCAGCGAGTGTGACTCCCACTGCCTTGAGTCCGTTTTAGGCGTTCGAGGAAACGTGAAAAGGAGCCAAGAGCGGCGAAAAGCGATGCAGCGTGGAAGGGCTGGCCACAGTGATTGGTCATGTGGAGCTGGCAGGGCAGCGGGCAGTGCTCTGCTGGTGAGACTGTCTGGCCTGAATGAGTGGCGTCTGGGGGCCGCTGAATACAAGGCAAGCAAGCGATGCGATGCCGGCATGAGGCTTCGAGGCCGAGAAATGCCACGACCCCTGCCTGAATGAGCCTGGTGCCGAGTATCGAGAACGAAGGCATGTCAAATGATGCCTCACCTGAGGTCGGTGCCGGCAGGGTCCGCCTCGCTGGTGGATCGAATGGATCACGACCTTCTGCCAATGGGCTTGCGGGTACATGCGACTCGGCTGCCTACCTACCTACCTGAGATGGGTACATCAGTGAGCAACGGCTGATGCTCTGACAGGATGCCGACGGCTAGGCATGGTCAGCACGGCGGAATTCTGAGTATCTGCGGCAACACCGGCTTCGAAGGATCGTCTCGTCTTGTTGCACTAGAGGGTTCGATATGCAAGTTGAGGCCACCCCCAGCCAAGGTTCTTGGTCCCGCTTGGCCTTCTAGAAGGGGTCTCCGGTGAAGCGAAACAGGCACACGTGATGGTAGTTTATGTCCACCTTTGGCCAGTGCGCCACTGCGCCCAGAAACGTAGGTCGGTGGCGTCTGTGCCCATTTTGTGCCCCCAATCGGACGGTGTGAGAACCCCCCGGAGAGCCCTGTAATGTAGGGGGGGCCTTAGTGGACAATGGCCTACTCGACTGTCCCCTGTGACACGGATGCATGGCTGACACTGGGAAGGAGGGGGGCAGGGACGCAGGCAGGAACGCAGGCAGCCTCCATATCCGCCTCTTGCCAACCACATCCATCCACACACCCATCCACGTGACACCATGCCATTGGAAAACAGACACGAACAGAGTACCGAACCATCTTTATGCCATGGCAATGCAAGGCAGACTTCTGCCTTGTTTCCGGCAACCATCTGCCGCCTATGGTTCGGTCTCAAGCCAGGTATTGCTCAGGCGAATGAGGCCCATGCCTGGTGCCATAGTCTCATGCAGATTGAGGCGCCACAGGCAGCCATCACAATGGTTGTGACAGCCCGATATAACAAGGACCATCTGCTCTCGATCGGTCTGGCATTCGGATCCTGGTGTCACCGTCATCTAAGCATCTCGAACAACTCTCTATCCGTCTAGAGTTGCGAATATACATTGATACCTGCTTACCAGGCCCGTCTGCCTCTGCCACCTCGCTAAAGAGCCATCACCAAAGAAGTTTCAGACAACCCCGTCGGCCCTCTCAACTCTATTGCTATCCTCGCAGAAGCTTATCAGGGTCCCTACGTTTGAGAGTACTTATAGAGGTCTGAACTTTCGTCCAAAGCGTCTCGAACACTCGAATAGCTCTAGAAGCTCTCTCCAACAACCCCTTACCCTACCACCAGTCAACACCGCCACCACAACACCGCCAACATGTCGTACAGAATCGCAGCCCCCGATGAGTACCTTGCCATCACGGGCATGAACGTGCAGTCGGTCAAGATCACCAAGGCGACGTGGTTGTGGCCCTTTCAGCGTTGCATGCGCTTCAGCGTGCAGCCTCACGACTATGCCATGAACCTGCAGGCCATGACCAAGGAGAAGCTCATTTTCCTGCTGCCCGTCGTCTTCACCGTCGGCCCAGACGTCAACGAGCGCGGCGCCAACTCGTCGGTCGAGAGCCACGGCCCCGAGGGGGACGAGGCGATTGAGCGGGAGGACCGCGGCGACGCCCTCACCAAGTACGCCATGCTGTTGGCCGACGCCGACGAAAACAAAAAGGCCAAGCGCAACACGGCCGCCGACAACACGCACGTCGGCAACATTGTCAAGGGCATCATCGAGGGTGAGGTGCGCGTGCTCGTGTCGTCCATGACCATGGAGGAGATTTTCACCGAGCGCGAGGTCTTCAAGCGCCGCATCTTCAAGAACATTCAGTCCGAGCTCAGCCAGTTTGGCCTCAAAATCTACAACGCCAACGTCAAGGAGCTGCGCGACGCGCCCGAGAGCAACTACTTTGAGAGCCTCTCGCGCAAGGCCCACGAGGGCGCCAGCAACCAGGCGCGCATTGATGTCGCCGAGGCTCGACTCCGCGGCAACGTCGGCGAGGCGCGCCGTGTCGGCGAGCAGGAGCGCGAGATTGCCAAGATCAACGCCGAGACGGCCGTGCAAAAGACGGAGCGCGACACGGAGCGCGCCACGGCCGAGGCCAAGTTCAGCACGGCCGAGGCCTCGCTGCACCGCGACGTCGAGATTGCCCGCGTCGAGGCCAAGCGCGCCCTCGAGGTGCGCGACGAGGACCTCAAGCGCGACGTCGAGATCAAGCGTGCCGCCGCCGAGGTCGAGCGCCTGCGCGCCCGCGACGTCGTCAAGGCCACCATTGCTCGCGAGTCGAAGCAGCAGGACGCCGACGCGCGCGCCTACGAGATCGAGGCCGACGCCAAGGCCAACTTTGAAAAGAGCCAGCGCGAGACGGACGCGCTCGCCTACAAGACCAAGATGGACGCCGACGCCGCCATCGCCGCCGACTTCAACCGCACCACCAAGGCTGCCGACGCCGACGCCTACGCCGCCCGCACCCGCGCCGAGGCCGACCTCATCGCCACCCAGAAGGAGGCTGCCGGTATGCTCGCCATGGCCGAGGCCTACGGCAAGATGGCCGAGGCCTTTGGCGGCCCCGCCGGCCTGCTGCAGTACATGATGATCGAGAAGGGCACCTACCGGGAGCTGGCCGACGCCAATGCCAAGGCCATCCATGGCCTGCAGCCCAAGATCAGCGTCTGGAACACGGGTAGCCAGGGCGGCAGCGGCGGCGGCGGCGACGCGTCCGGCACAGAGACGATGAAGAACCTCTACCAGATGCTGCCGCCCCTCATGACGACCATCAACGAGCAGACGGGCATCACCCTGCCCGAGTGGCAATTTGGCAAGATGGCCGCCGGCACCGAGGCCGTCAAGGGGGAGGTCAAGGTCAATGGGAAGCACTAGGGAGGGTGGTGTTCAGAAGGGCCTTTGAGGGCTCAGGCAGAGTGTTCGTCGTGAGCAGCAGTCGTTGTCTTTCTTTTGTACTTGATTTGTTGCGATACCCATGTACTTTAAGCAATAGACATTCCAATTTGATTTCCCTCTACCTTTTTATTTGACGTGTGAATCAGTCTACTCATCGCCTGAGAGCCCAGGAACATTCGATGGCCTTCCCATTCTCCAACCCCTGAGACCACCTTGATAACCAGTGCGGCAGGATTTGAAACATATGATGAACAAATAAGAACACCACAGACGAGATAACGTTTTCGCTATTTATCATCTATTAACCGTATAGTGTTGTTTATGGGGGAACATTTTCGACGTTCCCACATGCCCGATGTCTCAGTCTCGAAGCCAACTCGCCGCCTCTCGGCTTGCTTCAATTCTTTTTCTACTCTTACACAGCATGGCATACACTGAGGACCACAAATTGCCAATGGCAGACGGTTCATGATCAAGATCAATCATAGCAGTTCTAGGCATCCATCATTGGGCTGCTGCAGAGTGCCTACCCCATAAGGCATCACACTTGATGCACAGAAGACGGGGTATTAACATAAACAGTGTGCGGTTGCCTAGCGTGGATACGTCACTATGCAGGCCTGATCGGGCTGCGCCGCAATGAGATACAGACCAACTTATAAGGCCTTTTTTAAACCTCATCACGACTGAACATCAAACTCATCACAAGCCCGAAGGCGATTGAGGATTTTAGAAGTGACGCATCAGATTGAGTTGATAAATCAACATCCTCTGATTTCTGACCCTACGAGGCGACTTCATCCTGAGCTGTCGCAATGGACGCTGCCTCGGATGCACCACCGCAACCCGGGAGCTTGCAGCCCGGTTCAGGGTTGACCCCAAGCTCCCCATTTCTAGACGAATTCCTCAAGCTTAAGCGGCCAGACGACCAACCAGATGCCGCAGCCCGCAGGAAAGCTGTGGCGTCTCTCGTCGATGCCCTGACACCGTGGGAACGTTGGCATCTCCGCACACGGATGAACGCGCTGTCCATCGGCCTAGCCCGCCTCCCCGACCTCCCCGCCGAAGTCATCGCCATGATCGGCTCGCATCTCCACTTCAGCGACATGGCGTCGTGCCGCGCCGTCTCCAAGGCGTGGAGCTGCGCCTGGACACAGGACGAAGTCGCCAGAGACCTTCTGCGCCATTTCTACCCCGGTCTGCTGGAGACGGCCTCGGCTGCCGTGCCGCGGCGCCCCGCGTTGCGAGTCTTCGACGAGGCCACTCGCAGGAGTCGCCGCCGTCAAGCCTGCCGCTTCACTGCGTGTCTGGCGGAGAACACGGCGGAGCTGTTGCGGTTTGAAGTGACGGAAGGCCCGCCGGCGCTGTCGCCAGATCCAGCCGTCCACCCGGGACGGGAGTTTCCGGTCATGCATCCCCCAGCACAAGATGTGAACGAATTTGGCTTCTCTGGGCGTCCCAGGGAATGGCCTAACCAGTATTGCCACGGGCGATACCTGTGGCAGCTGGACGACTGCTGCTTCTACCTCGACAACTTTGACACGGGGTACCGGCGGCTTGTGTCCTGGACGGAAGGGCGTCTGCGAGGCATTGCAATGTGCAACATTGCATTGACCTCCCATCTCATCGTTTTGACAAACGAACGGAGAAACTTACTGTAATGC